TTTTTGGTTTTTCTCCGGTACCAGGAACCGAACTCACGACCTTGCACTTGCCAGGCAGGCGCTTTTGCCGCTGAGCTAAATCCCCAGCCCCCAGAGAGCTGTTTTTCAAAGGGATAATTCTGTGTTGTAATTTTCTTTCTTTTATTTTATTTTTTTTTGGTCTTTTTGAGACAGGGTCTTGCTATGCAGTTCAGGCTGGCATTGAGCTCTGTAGCTCAGGCTGGTCTTGACCTTGCAACAATCCTCCTGCCTCAGCCTCCTGAGTGCTGGGATTACAGGCGTGCACCACCACGCCCAGCTTGTGTTATAATTTTCATATAGTTGTATGAGTTGGAGTCAGTGTATTGTCTTACAAGATGGTAAGCTAATCAGGTGTCATGTCTTCCTTTTTAGACTACCCTGCTTTCATGCATAGTTATTGACTGGGTGAGGATGGGGTGACAGATTGCCAGGCCCAAGGGTTTTGGGTCCACCTGAGGATCGGGTCCTTATGCAGTGACTGTGCTTTACGGTTGGTGGGAGGAGGGGGCTCACAGGACTCCCATCTTGCCTCTGCAGCGGACATCAGCCTGGCTGCCTGGGGACGAAAGGCTCTGGACATCGCAGAGAATGAGATGCCAGGCCTGATGCGCATGCGGGAGATGTACTCTGCCTCCAAGCCACTGAAGGGTGCCCGCATTGCTGGCTGCCTGCATATGACCGTGGAGACCGCTGTCCTCATTGAGACTCTGGTTGCCCTGGGTGCTGAGGTGAGGCTTACAGCTATTTGGCTCTGGCTGTGTCCTTTGCCCTCCCTGGGTTCAGTCCGGGTGTGTGGTGGGGGGACTGGGGTTGTGGGGCTGACCTCGGGCCAGCAGGGGCTCTTCTTGTTTCTTGAGTTTTCTCTCCGTGTCCAGTGCTGCCTTGCCTGTGGTAACTGCACTTCTGCAGATTTTCTCTCAGACAGGAAGGTAAGCTTCTGTTACACTCGACCCATCCTGCTGAGAGCTCTGGTAGGAAAAACTCAACCCCATTTAGTCATCCAAGGACTGGTTCTCATTAGTCCTCCTAGGTTATGTTATGTTCCTACCCTGGGCCAATCATGGGTACCAGGAGGATGTTGTGCTCTGATTGGTTTAGCTTGGGTCATAATGTGCCAATGATTGACAGCTCCTCCAGGACCTCAAGGAGCCAGAGCCAAGTGGTTCCTAAACGGGGGCAGGACAGCCAAAACCAGCAGAGATCTCCAGGGCTCAGCCCTTGAATCTCTTCTTTATTTTCAAATTCCTTCACTTGGTGGTCTCATTTTGACTTTAAATACTGTCCGTATGGTGATGACTCCAAAGTACATATACTAGCCCAGACTTCTGGAACTCTCTCATAGTTTCTGGTACTGACATGTCTTCCCCACTCGGAGGTCACAGTGAATAGTTCTGAGCAGACTTAGGATTTTCTGCCCCATCCTCTTCCTGAAGTCTCCCCCATGTCAGTAAATGGAAACTGCAGTCTTTCAAGAAGCCAGAGGATTGGACAGTTTGCTATCACCTCCACTGTCGTGCTGTATTTCTTGTCAGGACTCTTCTTCAATAGCTTCTTCTTTTATCTCCTTGCTTCAGGTCTTCTCCTTCCACACAGCACCAGAGTAATAATGTTGGAGGTGGATTTTGTCACTGCTCTGGCTCCCGTCTTCTCACCCAGTGTCCCCGACCTGGCATTGTGGGGATGGCCTCTTACCCTGAGCTCCAGAGCTTTTCCCTCTTCCTGCCCAGGGCCCTTGGTGCTTCAGAGCCAGCAGTGACCAACTGCTTTGTTTCGTTGGCCCTTCTAGGTGCGGTGGTCCAGCTGCAACATCTTCTCCACTCAGGACCACGCGGCGGCTGCCATTGCCAAGGCTGGCATTCCAGGTAAACCCCGCCCGCTGTTGGGGCATTCGGGAACACATGGAGGGGCTCTGCTTCTCCCTGTGTGCTTTGCCAGCTCCTACAGCAGCAGGCTTCTTGATGGCAGGGGAGAGGGTCCTAGCTTAGTGAATCAAAGCAAAGAGCTGTTTTGTCTCATCATCAAAAATCCTAGAGAAGTTGCTGATTGAGCCATCTGAAACCTGCGACCAGAAAGGGCAGGATCTTGTGACATCCACTTGATATAGAAGAGAGGAAGTTCCTTAAAGGAAGGGTGTGAGTTTTGTTTTCAAAAAGCGGGGAGGATAGGGCAGAGGATTGGCAGAGGTCCATGGACTGAGGTATGGTAATCCAGGGGCCTGGAGAAAGAGTAGGACGAAGGAGAAAGGACTTCCTCACAACTGCTGAACAGGGCACAGGTCTGTCTGGGCTTAGGGAGGGGCGTGGTTAGGTCTGCCGGTGATTAAATAGGACCCTCAGTATTCCTTCTTATCACCCAGGCAGCGGGAAGAATTTGGGCCCTGGCTGACCCAGGGCTGAACAGGCATGTCCGTCACTGGCTAGGCGCCACGAACTCTTCCCAGAAAGGCTTTGTTTTTAAGATCATTATGTTCTCCAGCTGGGGAGAGGGCAGTTGTCCCTGCATGGCCTGTGTCCTTTGCTCGAAGGAGGATCCCGGGAGCCTCGCACTGGTGTCCCGGTCATACCATGTGGTGGGAGGAGCATTGACTGGCAGTTAGCAGCTTTGCTTTGATGCCTGCGCTGGGTCGCTGTGCTAACAGACACATGTAGGCATATCTTAGCCCTCGAGGCATCTGTATGGTGATGGTGGTAACGCCTGCCTCACTGGGTTTCACTAAGGAAAAGTGAGAAGGAGCCGTTGGAGTTGGGTCTTGCACAGAGACAGTATTCTATATGTAGTAGCTGCTTTTAGTAATTTTTTGACCAGAAAAAAATTTTTTCTGTGGCCAGACATTGCCTAAGACTACCCATCTCAGAGACTGCTGGGCCCACAAGACCCTCAGTGCGGAATCAACCCTGGGTCCTGCCCTGCGGGTCTCACTGAATAGGAGGTCCCACGGTGGGCGGGAACCTTGCTGTGCGTGGTCCCAGTCCTTGGAGCCCAGGCAGAAGATGAGAAAGCAGTACTTACTTCCAGATCGTGTGTCTGAGGTGCTCTTCCTGGCCTCTGTCTCATTTAGTCCATACTATCGTGAGCCTCGTTTATTGAAGAGGAAACTGAGGTTCAGAGACATGGAATGATTAGCTCAGTGTCACACAGCTGGTAAGTGCCAGAGCCAGGATTTGAGCTAGGATCTGTCCTGCTCCGAGTCATGTTCTTCCTGCTGTTGAGTTCTCAAGGGTGCTGGAAGCAGCAGCAGCTGGGAAGTAGGAAGCGGGTAGTATTGGTTCTACGTGGGTGGTTCCCTAGGACAAAGGTGCAGGTGGGGAAGGTGAGGCCCTGATGAGCTGCTTACCCTCCAGTGTATGCCTGGAAGGGTGAAACGGATGAGGAGTACCTGTGGTGCATTGAGCAGACGCTGTACTTCAAGGATGGGCCCCTCAACATGATTCTGGACGATGGCGGTGACCTTACCAACCTCATTCACACTAAGTACCCACAACTTTTGTCGGGTAAGTAGGGTGGGGTAGGTGGGCCAGATTTTTGTGGTCTGGATGGGGCCTACTCCTTTGCACGAAAACAGTAGGCCTGGCAGAACTCCCAGATTCTGTGGAAGACGGAAGGACAGTGGGTTCTTGCAGGCATGCAAGGGCTTGACCTTCTCACTTAGGATGTGGGGTTAGCTTGGCTTTGCTTGGCTGAGTTGATAGCCCAAGGGCCAGGGTAGGGTCAGAGCTGGGAACTGCTAGAGCAGCTAGATAACACCGCTGTAACACAGAGAAGGAGCCAGCTTTGTTAAAGGCAGGGCAGGAAGGGGAGTAGTTGAGAAACGGGGTGCAGAGAGTACAAAGGCAGGAAAGGATTGATTATTCAGGAAACAGAAATGAAGCCAATAGAATTACAGCGAATAACAGGAACCTTCCTTAGGAAATAGTACAGGATGTGGATGGAGCTTGAGTTATGACCAGAATTTGACAAGAGAAAATAATTTGGCTTGATCCTGAGAGCAAAGGGAAATAATTGGAGGGTTTTCAAAGAATTCTCTGAAAATATACATGCTAAAAGTAGCTAGTGGCTACTTGATGACACAGAAACCAGGTGAGAAATGGCAGTGGCGGGGACTGAGGCAGGGGCAGTGGGACCGGAGAGGCTGGGAGAACGGGGGAGGTGGAAGCCCTAGGCCTGGTGGTGGAGACCCTGTAGACGACGCCTTACTTCGCCAGCCTGGGGAATTGCGCCCGCCGTGGTGTCAGTCACGGAGATGGGAGCCCAGATGGAGTAGCACTGGGCAAAGTGAGGAATTCGGGTGGGTGAGTTCCGACGTGGTCTCTGATGCTCTGCCCTTCTTGTTCAGGCATCCGAGGCATCTCTGAGGAGACCACAACTGGGGTCCACAATCTATACAAGATGGTGGCCAAGGGGATGCTGAAGGTCCCTGCCATCAATGTCAACGACTCTGTCACCAAGGTGAGCACTTGTAATGGAAGCTCCAGCTGTTGGCTCCTGGTGCGGCTTAGGAGTGGGCCTGCGAGGAAGGGCGCCTGCCCACACGGGGGGGGGGAAGGGGGCTGGAGACTGAGGGGAGTGGGTGCATTAGACGAAGGAGGAGCGGCACAGTGGGCCTCAGAGCTGGGTTTCAAGAACACTGTGGCTTTGTCAAGAGCTTCAACATTATGCAGGTTTTTGGACCCAGCAATGTCTCCTCCTGATGAATTCCTAGGAAGGCTCTGGACCAACAGAAAGACTAGGCAGAGGGTCTGGGAGATGCCCAGGTGGGGGGCACGTGGGGGCATCAGGCATGGGAGGAATCCGGAGGAGGATCAGTTTAGGCTGAGTGGGCTTGAGGCTTCGAAGCCCTACAAAGCACTCTGAGCGTGGGGCCCAGGGCTCTACCTGCCCCCATCAATCCCTTGCTCTCTGTCCTTTCAGAGCAAGTTTGACAACCTCTATGGCTGCCGGGAGTCCCTCATAGATGGCATCAAGCGGGCCACAGACGTGATGATTGCGGGCAAGGTTGCGGTTGTAGCAGGCTATGGCGATGTGGGCAAGGGCTGTGCCCAGGCCCTGCAGGGTTTTGGAGCCCGTGTCATCATCACTGAGATTGACCCCATCAACGCACTGCAGGCTGCCATGGAGGGTATAATAGGGCGAGGGTTGACTGTTGGCCACTGGGGCCAGAGAAGGGGCCTGGCCACCCTAGATAACCCGCAGCTGCTGTCCCTACAGGCTATGAGGTCACTACCATGGATGAGGCCTGTCAGGAGGGCAACATCTTTGTCACCACCACGGGCTGTGTGGACATCATCCTTGGTCGGTAGGTGCCATGTTGGGATCCTGGGGAGTGAGGGGTGGAGCAGACTGGGGACTGCCCTTTGTTGCTGATGGTCTGCCGTGGGTTTGGGCTCTCACCATAGGCACTTCGAACAGATGAAGGATGATGCTATTGTGTGTAACATTGGACACTTTGATGTGGAGATTGACGTGAAGTGGCTTAATGAGAATGCTGTGGAGAAGGTGAACATCAAACCCCAGGTGAGAATTCCCAGCCCTGCCAGCAGGCTGTGCAGTAGAGGGCCATGGAGAGGCCTGCTTGGGAGCCACCCACCCAGAGCTCAGATTAAGAGGTTGTTGCAGGGCTGGGGATTTAGCTCAGTGGCAAAAGCGCCTGCCTGGCAAGCGCAAGGTCGTGAGTTCGGTTCCTGGTACCGGAGAAAAACCAAAAAAAAAAAAAAAAAAAAAAGAGGTTGTTGCAACCCAGATGGTGGTGTGTGGGAAGAGAACCTGGTCCCAGAGCTAAGCTTAGGTGTCAGGCTTGGTGCTGAGGGCAGCTGAAGACCCTGAGGGTCGGAGGCAGCTGAGCCATACATGGTCAGGTTGCTGTCTGAGAAAGATCCTTCTTGAGGCTGGGCATGGTGGTGCACACCTGTAATCCAAGCACTCGGGAGGCTGAGGCAGGAGGATCGTTGTGAGTTTGAAACCAGCCTGGGTTACAAAGTGAGCTGAAGCCCAGTCTGAACTGCACAGCGAGACCATGTCTCAAAAAAGACAAAAAAGAAAAAAAAAAAAACATCCTTTGTGCTACTGTGTGGAAAATGGAAGCAATGGCATGAGGTAGGGCGAGGGAGGGCACTGGCAGGCTCCACCTGAAGAGTGCCAGGGATGGTGGGCCCACCCAGGGGTCAGGTTGGGGAGGAACTGAAAAGGGGGCTAGGTGTCTTCTGGCTGGAACCCGCTGAAAAGTAGGCTATTTACTGAGCTGCGGCAAGGACAGGTTTGCAGGACATTGAAAGATGAGATTCTTTGGAATATATGAAAATTTTGGGGGGCTTATTTATTTTCTTCACTGGAGAACATTTGGCTTTATGTATCTAGAGACTGCAAGTTAAGCAACTCATTTTGTTGTTCTGCCAGGGGTGGGACTTAGTATCTGGCACACGTTAAACATGTGCTCTATCACTGACCTGCACTCCCAGCCCCTATGCAAACTCTTTGGCTCGGCAGTCTCTCCTAGCAGTTGATCCTCAAATATCTATACAGAAGTATTTATCACAGTTTTAAAAGAGAAAACAGCCCACTTAAAGTAGCACGCTTTGAATTTGTGCCTTGCTGTCTTTGAGGTGTTGTACAGATGTAGACAGAGTTGACCAAAGCTCTGATATCATCCAGTCAGAGTGACACCACAGGCCCAGCCAAGAGCCCAGAGCCCCCCATACGCAGATAAGCCTTTGTGGGCGCACACCCCAAAGTCACAGGCCCCACCCTCTTCCCTCAGGCCTTCTGCCTTCCTGTGGGAATTCTCTTTGGGTAGCGCACTACCCTAGGAGTATCATTTCCTGGCTAGGCAGAGGAACCACCATCTCCTTGCTCAGAAGTCCTGGCCCAGCACATGGCAGGCAGGGCATGCATCCCTGGCAGCCATGCCCCTGGGGACCTTCTGCAAAGGTGTCAGGGGGGAGGGGCACGTTTCTACCCGGCCAAGCGGGATTCTGTCCTCATCCTCAGAATTGTCAGCCTTTTTCCCAACTTCACCTTTTTTCTGTCTCCTCTGGAACCTGTCTGCTCCTAGGTCATTGTGGACCACTCCCTGAGTACTTCATCGCCGCTCCTCTTGTTACTGCTTAGGTAGCTCCTTTGGTTTGGAACAGGCCAAATGCCCTTTTCTTTGTCCATCCTCCAAGCCTTAGCTCAAAGGATCTCCATCCCCTGTTAAGCCAGCTGCTCAGGCAGAGGGCAATGCCTGTGTGTTTTGTCTGGCCCTCCTGTGCAGCGCCCGCCTCATTACAGTTGGAAGTACTGCCTTGCTCTGCGGCGGTACCATGAGGCCAGAGTCCAAACTGAGGCGGCCTTGCAGGGGTGTGGCTTAGATGGGCGTTAATGGGTGCTCATGCAGTGAAGGGATGCTGGATGGGCATCAGAGACTTTCCTTGGACTTGTACTAGGCCTCTGGGAGCAGTCTGTAGGGCCAGGCTTTTAAGGGAATATTTGGGAGTCAGTGTGAGGAAGGAAAGGATCAGAGTAGAGAGAGCAGATTTGTGTGGTCAGACAGTTGGGAGGATTGGGACAGTGAGGGGCGTGAGGCTGCGGGTTTCCACGTTCACTCACTCAACCTTGGCAGAGTCACCTCAGGTCTACTTAAATAGGATCCTTGGCTAGCATGACCATGTGTCCTTTTGTTGTTGTTTTTGAGACAGAGGCTTGCTGTATAGTTCAGGCTAGCCTCAAACTCACAACGATCTCCTGCCTCAACTTCCTTCTCCTGCCTCAACTTCCTGAGTACTGCAATTATAGGCGTGTGCCCCACACCCTGCGTGGATTCCTTGTTTTTTTTTTGTTTTTTGTGGTTTTTTTGGCTTTTTGAGATAGGGTCTCACTATGAAGTTCAGACCCTATCTCACTATGAGATAGGGTCTCACTATGAAGTTCAAAGTGACCTTTAGCTCACTTTGTAGCCCAGGCTGGTCTTGAACTTGCAATGATCCTCCTGCCTCAGCCTCCCAAGTGCTGGGATTACAGGCATGCAGTCAGAGTGACACCACAGTTTGCATTCCTATTTAAAAATTTTTTTTTAAATCACACCCGGTTTGCATTCCTACTTTAAAAAATTTTTTTCTCTTTTAATACGCATGGGAAGGGTTTATTAGGCAGAAATTTTAGGATGTACTTGAGCAATAGAAACAATAACATTTCCTACTACTTACTGAGTCCCTAGTATGTGCTTTACATGGGTCAGCTCATTAAATTCTCAGCAGATCTATGAGGTTACTAGTTATTTTATTTATTTACTTATTTACTTATTTGTGGTCTTTTTGAGACAAGGTCTTGCTATGCAGTTTAGGCTGACCTTGAACTCACCCAGGCTGGTCTCAGATTCACAACAATCCTCCTGCCTCGGCCTCCCGTGTGCTGGGATTACAGGCGTGCACCACCATGCCTGGCTTTATTATTATTATTATTATTAATGTTGTTATTACTCTCACTATCATCATTGATGGTACTGGGAATTGAACCCAGGTCTTTTGTACTGAGCTACCTCTCCAGCCCTTTTTACATTTTTTTTTTGAGACAGGGTCTCTTATGCAGTTCAGGCTGGCCTTGAGCTCACTTTGTAGCCCAGGCTGGTCTCGAACTCACAACAATCCTCATGCCTCAGCCTCCCAGGTGCTAGGATTACAGGTGTGCATCCCCATGCCCGGCTACATTTTTAATTTGAAATAGGGTCTTGCTGAATTGCTGAATTGCTCAGGCTTGGCTCAAACTTGTGATCCTCCTGCCTCAGCCTCCTGAGTACTTGGATTAAGGGTGCCCAGCTGACTATTATATTAGTTGGATGTGCCAGCCCTGTTTGAAGGTTGTGGGTTACGGCGCATTCCGGGCCTCGCCTGGGCAAGGTGGGAGGCAGAGGTGGACTACAAGCCAGTGCTTCCAGCCCTCACTGTTGTGCTGCTGACCCACAGGTGGACCGCTATCGGCTGAAGAATGGGCGCCGTATCATCCTGCTGGCTGAAGGCCGGCTGGTCAACCTGGGCTGTGCCATGGGTCACCCCAGCTTTGTGATGAGTAACTCCTTCACCAACCAGGTGTTGGCACAGATTGAGCTGTGGACCCACTCGGACAAGTACCCTGTTGGGGTTCACTTCCTGCCCAAGAAGGTAGGTTCTTGCTTCCCCCTCAAGCACCCAATCCTGGGCTGCCCACTAAGGACTTGCTAGAATTTATGAAGTGTTGTCTGCTCTTTTAGAGGTCCTAACAGGCTCCTCTATGGTGCAGAGTTGTTCTCCCCATTTGACAGGAGGAAACTGAGGCCCACACTGGGGTGTGATTCCTGGAATGTATCTAGAGTGGTGAAAAGAGCATGGGCTTTGCAGGGGGCCGCGCCAGATTTTGATCTCGACCCCACCCCATAAGGCTGTGTAACTGGGGCACGTTACTTAATTTCTCTGTGCTTCCATTGTCTCATCTGTAAAATGGAGGTGACAAGACTTCCCATAGGGATCGTGAACATGTCCTTAGTTTGGAGTCACAAACCCACGTGTCTGTAAGGATGTAAAAGGACGTCTGCCCCTCATTTATCATCATCCCGGAGCTCAGGTCTTTTGGACCAGGGCTTCTGAGCTCTGAAGAGAAGCCACATGCCAAGAAATGGCATGAAATAATTTCTCAATGTAGGCAACTCAAAGTTTTTAAAAATAAATGGATGGATCAATTCAGACATGTCTATGGGTGCAGTCTATAGGCTTCAGGTGTGTGGTTTTCAAACGAGCTGATGCAGTGCTAAGCAGGACTCCTGACGCCCACACCGTGGGCGTGGTGGGGTAACCGTGACGGGGACGTCTGCTGACATCAAGGTCAGCACTCACCCAACGCAACGTGCAGACTGCCCGTGCCCAGGGGTGAGGGTTGTGTTTTAGTTCTCCCTCATCTTGCCTCAGTGTCACAGATGAGCTTCCCTTTGATACTTACCCGTCTGATGTTCAGTTTCTCTACCAAGAGCATCTTTTGCTTTTCCAGCCTTGGGTGCTGGAGGGTTTATGGGGTCTCCATACCAGCCCACCACCCTGTGAAAGACTGGGTCTGTCGTTGAGAAGGGAATTAGGAAGACATCTTGGGTGCACACGCAGAGCCTGGCATCCATACCCCAGGACCAGCTGACTCCTTCCTGTTTCCCCGGGCCACTGTCTTGGTGGACCAAAATGTTTTACCCAAAAGGACCTCAAGAGCTACCTTGGTCTGTGCAGCCTACCAGATCCCCAGGATTGTTGTAGGATTAAAAACATCTCATGTGACCCCTCATCTAATCTCAGTTGGGAGAAATATGACTGAATTTGGTGAGAATTGCTTGAAACGAGGTCAGGTTTGGAAGTAAAAAAGGCAGAGAGGTTCGCCATCTCACTCGCTAGGACCCATCCTTACTTTCTTCCTCCGTATCTGGCTGAGACGTGGCTTGGGAACGAGACATTGTCCCCACATCTGTCTGGGTGAGGATTCAGGTATCAGGCTTAGGCCATGATGACAGAGAAGCCACAATTTGTTAAGTTACCCTGCACCAACCACTCAATATCACCGATCTTTGTAACACTTGTGAAAGACAAAAGTTTGTACATCTGTCCTACAAACCATGAAACTAAGGTTTAGATATCGGCTTGCTCTCAGAGCTATTAAGTATTGGGCCAGGAGTAGAACTCAGCTCTGTTGGTCCAGGTTATTCACCTCTGACTCAGGGTGCTGAGAGCAGGAATGGTATCCTGAGCTAGGTGGGGCCAAGCAAAGGGATTGACCATTCAGTATTGTTTTTTTTTTTTTTTTTTTTTTGTACCAGGAATTGAACTCAGGACCTTGCTCTTGCCAGGCAGGCGCTTGTGCCACTGAGCTATATCCCTAGCCCTCATTCAGTATGTACTCTGGGAGTTGGAGGCCTTCATTCTGCTGCTGGAATCCACATAGACTTCAGACTAGGCTGGTCCTATCTTTGTGTGTGTCATGCTTGAGTCTGTTATCACTTTGTCTAGGCTCCAGTTCCTTTATCTGTTAAACACAAGGATAAACCTAGCCCTTCCTACATGTTTTTGGAGTTCGAGTGGATATAAAACTACTTGGGGATGTGAATCCTCTGTGGGCTGGGCCATGGTCAGAAGCGGTCCTGCCATCATGGGTGGCCCCTTGGGCTTGGCACTAGCAGCTGAGAGCAACAGTCAGAGTTGACCTTAAGTGCAGCCTCTTGAACTTTCAGGATCTTTTCATGTATTTCAGCACTGGTCAGTTTGCTTTATGTAACCTCAGCCTCTGACCTTGGCTTCTGTATGATTGCTTCAAAGCTGTGCTGGGGGCCATAGTTCAGATTTTTTTTTTTTTTTTTGAGATAAGGTCTCACCGTAGTCCAGGCTGGCCTTGAACTCATTATGTAGTATATAGCCCAGGCTAGCCTCAGACTCCCAGTGATCCTCCTGCCTCAGCCTCCTGAGTGCTGGGATTACAGGCATGAGCCACCACGCCTGGTTGGCTCAGATTATTGAGATGTGTTTTGGAGTTTTGCTGCCAAATGGAACTTGGTTCAAATCCTGGCTTTGTCATTCACAAGATGTGTGTGCTTGGGCCAGTCATTCCACCTTTCTGAGCCTTGATTTCCTTATTTATACAAGGAGTTTTGCAGTTTATACCAGCTAGTGTCCTTTTGGTAGCCATCAGGGGAATTTTGTTCAAATCAGGGTGCTAGTTATCTACCACTATATAACAGTTTCAATTCAAAGCTTAATGACTTAAAACAACAAATATTTAGCAGGTTCAGTAGCAAATATCTGTTGTCTCAGCTACTTGGAAAGCTGAGGCAGAAGATCTCTTCAGCCCAGGAATTTGAGGCCAGCCTAGGTTACTGAGCAATAACCTGTCTCAAAAAAATGAAACAGTAGCCAGGTTTCATTACAGGTGTGGTAGCTCATACCTGTAATCCTGGCCACTTGGGAGGCAGAGGCAGGAAGAGGGCAAGTTTGAGGCCAGCCAGGGCAATTTAGTGAGACCATATCTCAACAGAGGTGGAGATGTAGCCTAGTGAACCCTGGGTCAAATCTCTAGTGCCATAATAACAAAACAACAACAAAGCGAATACACATTTGCTTCCCAGTTTCTGTGGGCAGGAATTTGAGGTCAGGTTAGCTGGGTGGTCCTGACTTGGGTCTCCCCTGAGGTTGCAGTCAAGATTGCCGCCAGGGGTGCTGTCATCCGAAGGTTTGTCTGGGACTAGAAGATTGACTGCTTGTCCATCTTGATGAGAGGTTTTGGTTCCTCATCCACAGGCCTCTCAGTAAGGCTTCTTAGGTGTCCTCAGGAGGTGGCAGCTTGCTACCCTGATGGGGTGACCCAGGAAAGAGGAAGGAGGAAGCCATGTTGCCATTTATGACCTTGTCTCCTGTCATATTCCCTTGCTTCTGTTTCATTCTGTTTCTTAGAACTGAGTTAGTCAGGGATGAGAAGTAGGTTCTACCTCTTGCAGCAAGGCGTATCAAAGAATTTGTGGGTTTATTTATTTCATGGGTATCACATATAGAGATATATTTTTGTCAAAGTTTAATCAAAAAAGGAATTGTAAGTTGGACGTGGTGGAGCATGCCTGTAATCCTAGCACTCGGGAGGCTGAGACTGAGGCAGGAAGATCATTGCAGGTTTGAGGCCAGCCTGGGCTACAAAGTGAGCTCAAGGCCAGCCTGAACTGCATAGTGAGACCCTGTCTCAAAAGACAAAAAAAAAAAAGAACTCTATTGACCATATAATGGGGAAGTCTAAGATTCAGACACTGGATCCAGGGTTTAATGTCATCATAGTTTTTTGGTTTTTGCACAGAGGGGTACTGGGGAACCCAGGGCCTTGTACATGCTAAGCATGTGTCCTACCTTGAGGTAACACCCCTAGGCCCACGGCTCGCTCACTCTGTCTCTTGGTGCTTTTTTTCTCTGTATTTATTTCACTTGTCAAATAGACTTGTCAGTGTAGCTGAGATGGCTCCCCTTCCCTGTTGAGGAATCCTAGTGGAACTGGAATGCTCCTGTCTCTCCCTCATGGAAAATATGTCCTAGGCCATAGGAAAATGCCAAGAAGCATTTTATTTTATTTTATTTTATTTTTGTTTGTTTTTCTCCGGTACCGGGAACCGAGCTCACGACCTTGAGCTTGCCAGGCAGGCGCTTTTGCCGTAGAGCTAAATCCCCAGCCCCTAAATAATTCTTTTTTTTTTTTGCTTTTTCTCTGGTACCGGGAACCGAACTCACGACCTTCCGCTTGCCAGGCAGGTGCTTTGCCGCTGAGCTAAATCCCCAGCCCCCAAGAAGCATTTTAGTTAGCCGCCCACGCTGGTGGAGGATAAGGAAGGACATATAATTGCTGGTCTCACTAGGGCAACTTGGAGGGAGGATGTGGCACTGTTCGCTCTTGACAGGAAACAGCATCCAGAAGAACGGACCGAACGAAGCTGGGTGTGAGGGTTGAGTGAAGTGTAACATGGGTAACACCCGTGGCAGATTCCCCAAGAGCAGTTTCTGCCATTTGGTTTGGGAACACAGGCAGAGGACCCAAGGTCATGGTGTTCACTCTGGGTTTTCCTTTTGTTTGTCCCCACCCCAGCTGGATGAAGCAGTGGCTGAGGCCCACCTGGGCAAGCTGAATGTGAAGCTGACCAAGCTGACTGAGAAGCAGGCCAAGTACCTGGGACTGCCCCGTGATGGCCCCTTCAAGGCTGATCACTACCGCTATTGAGAGCCCGAACCACCCTCACCTTCCAGCGGCCCCACTTCTTCCCAAAAGCAAATGGCGCCAACTCTGCAATTGCTTTCTCAGTGTCCTCTACGGACCCCTTGAGGCTGGTTACCCTTCTTCCTGTTGCAGGTGTAGCACGGGCAACTGAGAGGTCCCAGACAGGGTGGAGGTACGAAAGAGACCTCTACATTGAACCAGGAGCTGTGGGGGTCTTGGAGGTGCTCAGTCAGCCACTCCTTAGGCTGGAAGTTGGTAGTGGTGGTCACAAAGGCCTTGTACGTCACCATCCAGGCCGGCATCTGGCCTATGGACTTAGACTCGTGTGCTTGCTTTGCAGATTTACTAATTTCTCAGCCCATGGAACTGTATCAAAGGGCAAAGAAAATCTCTGGGCGTTTAAATGTTCCTGAGAGCTTGGATTATTCAGTGCTGGGGCTTCTCATAAATCTCAGAATACTGAGGTTGGTCCTTTTAGACCCTGTTTCACAATATCCCTCAATAGTCCAGAAGGGACAGAGAGGTGATAGCCAGAGTTTAACAGGGGCCACAGTGACATAAAAAACAGGCATGGATTTGCCATCACATTGTAAAATGATGGTTCCTACCACAACCCTGGGTCAAAAAAACTAATTTGGTTCATAATGTTTATATAATGTTTAGACTATGAAAAGAAAGCAGGAAGGTGGGTAAATAAAAATTTTGGTGCCTGAAAGAGTTCTGAGCCTTTATTATACACATGTTCCACTGCCAGCAGGGTATGGCGTGAGCTGGGGCTGTAGTCATGTACTCGTGGCGCATTGAGAAGCAAGGGGCCTTCTGCAGTGTGGAATGGTCGGAGCCGCAGGCAGCTCCTCAGGCTTGGAGGGATGGGTAAGCAGAGAACTCTTTGCTTTTCAGGGTGTGTCTTACAAATAACCTGTTTCTAACTCAATATAAGACTGTCCTTTAATTGGTTCATAAATTTAACCCATTTATAACTGTAATTTCTATACTTTTATTTTTTGAGCTCTATTAAATTTTTATGACCTCATTCCTTCTTTTTTTTGATTGATCCAACAATGTACCTTGAGGGAATTACTGAGCACTTACTGCGTACTAGATGCTCTGTAGGTGATTTACTTTTTTCTCACAATACCCTTCATAGTATTTTTGTTTTTTTGTTTTTTGTTTTTGTCTTTTTGAGACAGGGTCTCGCTATGCAGTTCAGGCTGGCCTTGAGCTTACTTTGTAGCCCAGTCTGGCCTCGAACTCGCAATAATCCTCCTGCCTCAGCCTCCCAAGTGCTGGGATTACAGGTGTGCACCACCACGCCTGGCTTCTCTGATCTTCAAAATCAAAGATAAGCAGGAACCCACCAGGGAAGACTTAACTGTAAACTGACCTAAGGGCCATCCGCTGAAGATAAGGCCTGATGGAGATGTTGAGATGTTTTTTTTTTTTTTTTAGACAAGGTTTTCCTACACAGTTCCGGCTGGCCTTGAGCTCACTTTGAAGCCCAGGATGGTCTCAAACTTGCAAAGATCCTCCTGTCTCAGCCTCCCAAGTGCTGGGATTACAGGCATGCACCACCACGCCCGGCGATGTTGAGATGTTAGAAAGCTTATCCCAAGTGGCTGGGATCTTGAGAGGTGCATAAATAGCTTTACCGTCTCCTGGCACTTTTCTGCCTAGCTTTAGAATTCAGTGCAAAGACCAAAAAATAAATAAATTAAAAAAAAAAAAAAAAAAAAAAGCTGGGCATGGTGGCGCACGTCTGTAATCCCAGCATTCGGGAGGCTGAGGCAGGAGTATTGTTGCGAGTTTGAGACTGGCCTGGGCTACAAAGTGAGCTCAAGACCAGCCTGAACTGCATAACCAGACCCTGTCTCAAAAAGACAAAAAAAAATAAAATAATAGAATTCAGTGCCTGGCAGCAGTGGGAGAAAGGCATCAAAGAAGAGATGGCACTTGAATAGATTTTAAAAGAACTGAAAGCCAGGTGTGGTGGTGCCTGCCTAAAATCCCAGTACTCGGGAGATTGAGTGAGGCAGGAGGATCATTACGAGTTCGAGGCCAGCCTGGGCTTCAAAGTGAACTCAAGGTCAGCCTGAACTGCACATTGATCCTGTCTCAAAGATGAAAAAAAAAAAAAAGAACTGAAAATCTTTAATGGAAAAATTGCAGGACTACTGTGAAGAGTTGTTTGGCTGTAATCTAGCAGCAGCCCTGAGGGTGGAGAGGTGGCCTGGAGGACAGGAAGGAGAGTCTGGAACTTCGGAGTGGGGACTTTGGTTTTAATCCAAGAGCACAGAGCCCTGGAATGTCCCCACTTCATGAAACATTTCACAGTTGTGACACTTGGGGTCACACTGAGGTTGATCTGAATGTAGGGTCATACTCAAGTGAGACATGGGAAGTGTTAAGGCAGTAGCTGGGATTGTGTTACTGGAGGCAGGAGACCAGAGAAATTAGACCAAACAGTATCGCAAATATGTAGGAAAGCACCCCTCTCCCTCAGTTTGAACCCTGGGTCTCACGCGTGCTACGCAAGAGTTCTACCACGGAACTACATCCTCAGCTGCAGGTAAGGCTTTAATGGGACTTGCACTCAAGCACAAGGATTAACATTGCGGATTAAAAGAGAAGAGGAAAGGGCAAACTTAATGAGTTTGCTGTGATAGGCAAGGGTTATGAGGGATATTTTTTACAAGAAGTTCCTTGTGAAAGGTACTGGTCAGGAGTCATTTATTTTTTGGAAATGGTACTAACACCCTGACCGTTGTGCATCTGGTCTTGTGGTGCATCTGGTCCTTATCATGTGAAGAATGGAAAGGCAGGAAGAACTGTGTACTCTACTTTCCATAGGCTTGGGAGGTTAAGGATTAAGGGCTCAGGAGTTTATTTGCCCTTTGTCCTTGTGCTTCTGTCCTGACTCTATTTTTTTATTTTAATATTATTTGCCTTTTTTTTTCTTCTGGTACCGGGAATTGAACTCATGACTTTGCGCTTGCCAGGCAGGCACTGTGCCACTGAGCTAAATCCCCAGCCCCTATTTTCTGTCTTTTTTAAATTTATTTTTTCTTTTTTGTCTGTTTTGAGACAGGGTCTCTCTATGCAGTTCAGGCTGGCCTTGAGCTCACTTTGTAGCCCAGGTTGGTCTTGAACTTGCAACGATCCTCCTGCCTCAGCCTCCCAAGTGCTGGGATTATAGGTGTGCGCCACTACACGTGGCTAGGGATCTCTTTAATACTTTAGTATTCCCTTTCTCTTCCAAGTTGAAGTATGTATGTATGTATGTATTTATTTATTTGGTACCGGGAATCAAACTCAGGACCTTGCTCTTGCCAGGCAGGCACTTATGCTGCTGAGCTATATCCCCAGCCTTGAAGTTGAAACATTTAGAGCTGCAAAATAAGGGAATGTGAGGTACCAGAGGGTAAGGCCAACCATTCCTCAGCCATTAGCTTTCTCAAGTAACTTCACGTATATGGTGCTCCCTTGCCTATGTCTTGCACAGTAACGCACTTCTATTTGAGTGCAAATCATCTGAGAGATAGAGGAAAGGCCTTGTTTGCCGTATTTTTTTTTTTTTTTTTAAGTTCGATGGGTAGAGACTTACCTTAAGGATGTGATGTCAAGCAAAATCCATGAGTCACACTCAGTGGCCCCTGGTCAGAGAGGCACAAGAAGCTGAAAACTGCTCATCAAAACTTTGAGGCTCATTAGGGTCTCCTGCCGTGAAACAGTTCTCCAGACCCCTCACTCTGAGTGCATAGTTGAAGTTACGTAAGTTGCGTGGATATATGATGTGACTGCTGAAAATAACTTACACTTTGGTAATTCAACTATGATTAGTGCCAAATGCCAGGAACCCACTTCTCAACTGATCACGTCAGTGGTCACAGTGGATCAGATCTACACAGTAACCGCTGCTATTTCTTACATTCCTGTTGTGTACCAGGCATTGTGCCCAGTGAGCATTTCTTAGGTGTGATCTTATTCATTCCTCAGGAGATCTCTGTGGAGACTTGCGTTTCTGTGTGTGTTTCAGGAAACTGAGGTGCCATGAGAATGAACCGGCTTTTGCACTAGATTGGACTCAGACTAAAATCAAGTGTGTTCCACACTCAGGTTCAGATGTAGGTGGGTGACTGACTTCAGATTCCTCAACACTTGGGCCAGTGACTCCGGAACCGTAGCACAGGTCCCCTAAAGGCAAAGGTGCCAGAACAGCGCACTGTATAGCCTTACCGCAGTTTTTCCACCACGGTGACTTTTGGAAGGATGACTTGGGAGGGAAGCGGGGGAAGCTCCTGTTCATCTGAGCCAGGGAAGTCTCATTGCGCAGCAGCTGTGCCACGCCCTCCACAGGGCCTGTGCATGTGTCCGCACTTCCCTCCATCAAGTCCGGCTCCACCCAGACACAGGAAGCACTTCTCCAGATGTTCCCTGCTGTGAGATTCCCCAGGAGCCCCCACCTCCAGTCTGTTGGGGGTTCTGGTTTCTGTTATCCGAGCTTTTCCTTCCTCTTTGGAGATGTCCTGCCAATTCTCAGAACTTCGTGCTTTTTTTTTTAAGCCCCTCGCCTCCCTTCACATCTGGTCTCAGACGTATCTCTGATCTCAGGTCTGCCTGATGTGTCACATGTGTGACACTGAGCAAGTACTCACAAGGAAAGCTGTGTCTCATAATCCCTCACCCCTACTCCTGAGTCGAAGCTTCATGGGGAAAGAGATTGCTTGAGGGTCCTGCAGTATCTGGCCTGGCCCTTGCTCTTTTCGCCCCTGCCCCAGGAAAGGGAGAAGGGAAGGGAAGGCACGGCTTGAGGGTTTGTGGAGCAGTGGTCTAGGGTTTGGAAGGAGGAGATCTGGGTCTGCTGCTGAGTCATGTTACCTGGGACAGGGACAGAAATACCAGCTCAGAGGGTTCTTACAATGTGTGTAGCAAGTTCTATGTGGAGTTTTAAGGGCTGTATCAGGCACCAGGGGAGTGGAAGGAACTGTTCTGGGGACATGGAATTTAGAATACTTAGAAAATTTTTGGAGAAATTATAGAATCCTAGAACTAGGAAAGACCTTATGGTTAAAACATCTATTGAGCAAAAGCTAGAATTTGGATATGAAGCAATGGAGGCCTAGCAAACTTAACTGACTTCTGGGCATCCTGCCTGCCTCCAAACAGGGCTCTTCGCTGGACATCAAGCTCCACGACCCCCTCCATGTATCAGGTTGTGGTGGGAGGGCCATAGGCACTGAGATCTTTCAAATCTTGTCTGGGACAGAAGTAATGGGCTTAGAGGGCATGGAGGTAGCATGGACTAAGACCCAGGAAAGGGTATAGGGACCTGTTTATGCCAGCAAAGACTTCAGAAGGCAGCAGAGAGTGGTCAGTTCTGCTTAGGAGGTCTGAGGTTCCAGAAAAGCCCAGATGCTGAATACCTGTTTGAGGTGGTCAAGGGACACTTTCTCATGTGACCCAGGCCTGGTCAGTGATTGATCAGTTCTCCAAATTCACTCAAGGACAGGCATGTGTGTCAAATTGTTCCAGACTTTAGGACTTTTGCTAGAAATCTGGGTATGGTGCAAGAGTGATTCCAGGAGCTTACCGTAGGCTAGTGGAGCTGCATTTGGACTTGAGTAGTTGTCACATTGCTATTGCCATGGAGGTCTACACAGCCAGTTAGGAATTCTAAAGGAAAGTTCTGGAAGGTATGAAAATCTTCAGGATGCAAATAAATGGAGCTATGTGCGGGGCTGTTCAGGCAATGAGATGACACAGCATCTTCACCACCACCACCATCAGGAAGTGCCACCGCCCAGATCCTTCGGCTCTCGCATCCAGTCGGGGAGAGTTGGTAATTAGCTTCTGTTTCAATGCAAACTATCATTAGAAAGCAATCTGAGGTGAATGGAAACATTTGAAAATTTTCAAGGATTTTACTGATAAAATACATTCCTTTTCTCCTTTACCATTTTCTCTAAACATGCACTGCTATTCCTTGGCCCATGGAAGAAGAGAGTTACAAGTCTACTTGAAATTAATCTGAAATTCACTGCAGATGGTTTGGCTAATGCATTTCGAATCACATTCTTTTCTTCACTTATCCTGTTCTCTTCACACATGGGAATTGGCCTTTGGAGTTAAATGTCCTTATAAAGTTCCTATTTAAAGGCAGCAGTAATTTCCTGATAGCGGATAGTGGTCCTAGATCTGTGGCTGCCCAAACATATGGAAGAAATCAGGTTAAGGACCCAACAATTGCCAAATAAGTTGACCTGTAGTCCACAATTCACAGAAGCAGTGAAATCAAAAGCTTCAATTTCTACTTTAAAAATATATAATAAAATGTGTGTTTAAATGTGCTGTGCCCCAAATTTTAACACATTGGAAACCACCTGGACCAAATTTTGCAGTACACCCCTTGCTGTTTTTGTTTAGTAGAAGACTGTTCTGAGATTGCGGGGTAAGCTATTAAAACTTTTTACAACTTTTCTGTGTGATTTAAATGTTCCTCAATACTGTGCAAACAAAAGACAAAATAAACTGCTGGGGCTGATAATAGAACAACTGTTAATATTTAATTTCTGGTTTCAGTGTTGTGTGTGCATAATTATAATGTTATACTAATTAAAATGCCTGAATGTATGTTATATAATGAGGTTCTCTAAGATTTCATCTGGGGGCTGATGTAGCTCAGTGGCAGAGTATTTGCCTAGCATGTGCTAGGCCCTGGGCTCGATCCCCAGCACAGAGTGGGAAGGGAGAGGGAATGTGAATAATTGTGTTGGAGGTGGAGATAGGGTATCCAAATCATCATAACAGTAAAACTGTAACTCAGAGCCACAAATGTGAGTTTCAACTTTGGTTAGCCGGGCAGAGTTTTGTGGAGGCCTAGAACCATGGCCTTAAGGCTCTAAGGCTTGAGGAGGAATTCTGAAAATGTGGAGGAATCTCAAAATCTCAAACTGAAGGAGAACCTGGACTATAAATATCTAAGCAGGGATCTGGGTCAACAGAAGCAAGAACAGAGTTTGAGGGAAGAGACCACATATGTGAAGAATGGTTCTAGTTCTAACCAGGGCCAGTGGTCATGGACTACTGAACCATAGGCTATGTATGGAGAGCATCCATGTTGGATTTCTTCATCACAGTATCTATGGCACCTGGCCCACAGTAGGTGCTTAGTACTTATATGTTGAGTGAATGGATGGATGAGTCTTCCATGCGGTTGTCTAGTCCTGGCAGCTAGGTACCTTCATTACTGATGGACTGAGTTTTTGCTTTCTGTCCCTGGCTTCAGGCCTGAGGGTCAAATGGTTGGTGATTAGTGCCTGGAAAACACAGAAGCAGTTGCTGGGATATGTTTCCAATTTTTCCTTACTAATGACATTTACTCAGCAGCAGCTGTGGTCCAAGGAACAAAAAAGGTCCTTGCCCAGTGGGCATGTGGCCTAAGTGATGGAAAACAAAACAACCAATTGCAGCTTTTCTATGTGGCTGTGTGTTGTGTTAGGGTGTGTTGTGTTCTGTGTGGGAGCATGTTGTTTGCTGTATAACAAAAATTATTAGCACAAACTATTTCCCATTACATAGATGTGTAAATGGAAGCCCAGCTAGGCATAAAGACACAGTGTGCAGAACTGTGTGCACAGCTTGGCCTGCAGCGCCATCTCTCCTTATGCGCCATTCTGGTGGTTGCCACTTCATTCAGTCCAGGGCCCAACAGGAAAAAAGGCATTTAACTTGTTGCTTCCATATCACTAGTCACAACCTGGGGGTCCAGTTGGGAAAAGGTCCCTGGCAAGAAGGGGGTTTCCTGGGATTTGAAAGAGGGAAAATTGCAAAGGGACAAGTGTCTAGGAGGAGGCCTCACCTCGTTGGGCCCTGAGCCCCGCTCTCTTCACCCCCAAAGATACAGATATGAGGTCTGAGGAAAGGGCTCCACATTTTGCTGTCATAGCCTCTCTCTAGGACAGTTTTTGGCACAGCCTCTCCCCTTTTATCATCTGCTACTGCACCTGTAGTGATTTCTTGGGGAACAGCTCTGGCCATTTGGGGGGCAGTGATGGGTGGTACTTTAGTTTTTTTTTCCTTCCTAGCAGTGTATCCAGTCTGGTGGACCAAGTAGATGATTTTTTTTGAGACAGGGTCTTGCTATGTAGTTCAGGCTGACCCTGAACTCACTATGTAGCCCAGGCTGGCCTCACATTCTCCACAGTCGTCCTGACTCAGCCTTCGGAGTGCTGGGATTGCAGGCGTGCACCCGGACACCCGACTCACAAGTAATGACGTTCTCTGCAGCTCTTCCTCTCAACATGCTGAGAGTTTCCATGGGACGCCCCCACCCAGTTGGCCCTTCTTTAAGTCCCTGCCCAGACCTTCTACTCACTTCCCAAAGCAGTGTCCCAGACCCCAACCCCTGTTCTTCCAAAGATGTGATGGCTGCACCCCAGTTTCTCATAGACTCAAATTCTGCAGAATTTCAGAAAACGGCTTGGAACATTTTTTGGTAACGGATCTTAGATGATTGAGTATGACTGCTGCCTACTCACTACGCCCAGCCCACTGCCTCCTGTCCGCCTCCTGTCCCAGTAACAGCTGGGGTGGGGAGTGGGGAGAGATCCTTGAACTCTTGTTTCCTACTTGGGAACCCAAACTCTAGGTTTTTAGAGTTAAAAATGGCTGGGGATCATGCCAGTACTCATCTAGCTTGGGGTGGAAGAAACTTCTAGGTTCCAGCACCTCTGTGTGTCCCTGGCAAAGAGGGAGGGGTTGGCTCAAGTGGAACCTCTGGGCACCTCCGAAGGCCTAGGATCCTCACCCTAGAGCCTCTGGCTGTAGACACGACAGTAAAGGTCCAGTCAAAACCAGCTGACCCTCCCTCTCTTTCAGAACCCAACAGCCCAGTGAGATTGCCCTTGCATTTCCAACATTTTTTTTCTTTTGAGGGGAAATGGGCCCCGTGAGGGGAGCTCCTTAAAAGAAGGGGTGAAAGCCGTGCGTGGTGGCACACACTTGTAATCCCAGCACTCAGGAGGCTGAGGCAGGAGGATCACTGCGACTTCGAGGCCAGCCTGGACTACCAAGTGAGTTTAAGGCCAGCCTGAACCGCATAGTGAAACCCTGTCTCAAAAAAGACCCCCCCCCCAAAAAAAAAGGATGGAAAACTGAAAAGCAGTTCCTTAAGGGCTCATTTCTGTCTACTCTGCAGTCCCTGGTTTTGGAGGCAGCCTTGGTGTCCCCAAAGTTAAAGGTAGGGGCCAGTTCGTTCCCGGCCGCCGCGTCTGGAGAAGGGAGCACCGCGTGGGCAGCTCGGGAGTGCGGAGAACCGGGGTCCTCAGCCCCAGGGAAGGACTGCGTGCTCAGTGCACGTGACTTGGAGGTGAAGGAGGCTCGGCGAAGGGACGCCAGCTTTCTGTTCCTCTAAAGAAAGAGCCACACTCCTTCCGGCAGCCTTTAGATACTGTATTCGGCTTTTAGCGAAAGCCCATTCCCCTTGAAGCACCCCCTCCTCAAAGCTCCACCCAACCCAATAGCCCTGCCCACACCCGGTCCCGGAAAAGCCACGCCCACGAGCGACCCCGACCTATCAGCGCCTCCCAGGTCGGGGAAAGCCCCGTCCCGCCTACCCCAGCGGGGAAGGCGAGCTCAGCAGTTGGGGTTGAGCACGCGGCAGGAGCAGAAGCTGCGGAAGAGGCGGCACTGGCAGGAGGCGCACGGGTTGCAGCAGGCGGGCGCTGGCGGCTTGCAGCTTTGGCGGGTGGCCACGCAGGGCGCGGGCGGCAGGGGCCGTGGCAGCTTCACCTTCTCCATCGAAGCCTTTTTCTGTGGGGGGAACGCCCGGGCTGCGCGAGTCGTCCACGCCCGCCCTATGCGTCCTTTTCTCTGCCTGGAAATTCCTCGGGCTGTGGACGTCCTGGACCCGACACCCCTACCCTGCTGCCCACCGATGGCTGGACTCATCCTCAGGGCACTCCACCAGGTCTCCCGCGCCCCCAGGTGGTTCCCCCAACCCTCCACCTCCATCCCCATCCAAACTTACCTGGTTCAGTGCTGGCCTTTATCTTTCCTAAGGGACCCCCTCCGCTCCACAGTTTAAAGCTATGCACTGTTTTAGTCTCCTGGCTTCCAGTCTCTCTACGATCCCTGTCAGTTCTGTTTTCTTAATACATTCGGGATTCCCCCCGCCCCATTTTCCCTCCCGCGCAGCAACCGTGAGCCAGGCTCTCTGTAGCTCAGGCACCCACAGTCTGTCCTCCAGTGTATTGAAGGGACCCCATGGAAGACTCAGGATCTGATCCCATCCGTGCTTAAAAGCACACCAGTAATTTCTCTTTACACCTAGAGTAAAATACAAATTTTGTTTCGGCCCTTGCTCACCTCTTAGGCTGTTTACTCCTCTGCCCCATCGGCTTTCTGTGACCCAACACAGCAAGTAAGTTCCTGCTGTGTGTGACCTCTGAGCTTGTCCCCCAGCCCAGGAGCGTTCTTGGCTGGCTGTCCAGCACGAGTAGCCACAGCCATGTGTGGCTGTGGAACACTGTGTGTAGCGGTCAGCCCAGGAGGCTATTTTTCTATTTACTTTGAAACCAAAGCAATGTAAAAAATTTCCCCTATTAAACACAGTTATACTGTTAAGATCACATTTCACTTTGTTGAAGATTTAGCGTTGGAACTGAGTTGTGCTGTATCAGCTGTACACCAGACTTCAAAGACTTAGTATGAAAAAGGCGTAAAATATTTCAATCACTTTTAAAATGGCTTACACGTTTTTTTCTTTTGTGGCGCTAGAGACTGAACCCAGGGCCAAGTGTGTGCTAGGCAAGCGCTCTACCACTGACCCGCGTTCCTAGCCCAAAACGATTACATACTGAAATGTTAGTATTTTGAATATATTGGGTTAAATAAAATATTAAAAATAATTGTAACTTTTCTCTTTTTAGTTTTTATTTTTTTAATTGTAACTTTTCTTAATACCTTTTTTGGGGGGGTACGGGGAATTGAACTCAGGACCTTGCGCTTGCCAGGTGCTGCGCCAACTGAGCTATATCCCCAGCCTCTTAATACTTTTTAAAAATATGATTAGTAGAAAATTTGAAATCATAAATATATATGGCATATATTGTTTCTATTGGACATTGCTGCTCTAGATTACTGAGTATTTATATGTGCTTCCTAGCAGAGTGCTGGTGTACTCCTGTAATCCCAGCACAATGGGAAGTTGGGGCAAGGGCAATTTTCAGTGCAGCTGGGACCATTCAGCAATTTAGCAAGAACCTGTCTCAAAAACAAAGAATAAAAAAAGGATTGAGGATGGAACTCAGTATGAAAACATTGAGTTCAGTCCCTAGTACAGCCAAGAAAAAAAAAGTGCTTCCTTAGGCCTTCCCTGAAGACTCTCCCCTCTGTTCTTTCATTCATGCTTTATTTCCTTACAGCATTTCTCATCTGAACGTATTCTATTTTACCTATTTATTTGCTGGTTACCTGTTTTCTCCCACAGGAATGTAAACTCCACGAGAACAGGGATATGTCTTTTATTCACTTTTCTACTCCCAGTGCCTAGTATGTAAATTTTTTTTTCCTAGTATGTAAATTTCTTTGGCCACTGTACATTCCTGTCAGTCATCTGATCACTCATTCACTTTACAGCCAGCAAAACGGCCCACAGAGGAACAAGGACTTCCTCAAGATCAATGTGCCAGGTCTCATCTCCCAATACCTAGTTCAATGCTTCCTGCTCTGGTTACAGCTGATCTGGTAGGATTGAGGCACACCAGAACCGGAATAATGTGTTCAGCAGTGCTTCACTCCAGCTTCCCAAAATGTAGAACCTGTATTATGGTGGGATCATTTTAGGCAGTACCTGAGTATTAATTATGACCCTGAATCATACAATGAGAAAGGATTCTGTTTCAGCCTGAGAGTTTAGTGCTGACATGTCCTAAATGCTTCTTCAATACTTTCTATAACAGAACTCAGATTTAGAGCCTTTGGCAGGCAGAAATACCATCCAGCTAGATTTCACAGCTAACAGCGTTTTATCTTTTTTATAGTTACCATCTATTTACAGTGATACTGGTTTTCTGTCATAGTTTTTTTTAAGTTTTGATTTTAAATAAATGATAAAACTCAGATATGGTAAAAGTTGTGGAAGTGGTTCTGAAAAATCTGAGGTTTGAGAAACATTGTGTTCATCCAAAAGAATGAGTGATGGTGAAATTTCTGAGATCAGAAGTTGCTTTTCAGCAGAGAACTATTTTGCTCCGTGAACTTTAGCTCTTTGGGCTTCTCTGGGGGCTTCACTTGTGGCTTGAGACCAGGAAGCCTTCTGGTAGTTTTCAGCTCTTTGGCTAATGCAGGCCTGGAAAATCTCTCATTTAGCTTTAACCCACAGGTTGCAGGTCCTCCCCTACCAAGTTCAATCCCATTCCCACAACGAGAACTCCCAGACCTACCTTGGAAGATCTTTTCCTGTTTTCTGCTTCTTTTTTGCTGATTGTTTTGGATTTCTTGTTCAGTGCTTCAAAGAGAGACAGAAGAAGCAAAGCCAGATGTTTCTGGAACCCTGAGCTGCAGTGAAATAGGAGGAGCAGAGGGGGCCGCAGGGAAGTCTGAGGGTGGAGGAGGAGCAGGGGTTGGCTGGATGAATCACACTGCAGCTCTGGAGCCTGCAGATTTTTGTTAGCCTGGCTCTGAGCTGGAGCCAGGAACTGAAAGCAGTGTCCTCTGAGGGGAGCAAACAGGAAATCCAAGGAGGTCCTAGGACCTGCCTGTAGCATCTCTAAGAGGCCTGGCCCCTGGACCTTGACGGCCGTGGGCCACTCAGTTACCTTTCTTTAGTCTTTAATCTGGCAGGTACACAGCATTGTGCCATTATGAAAACTGACGCAATGTCTTGAGCTTGGATGTATCTGTGTCACCTATTTTCTCTTTCTCAGAGCTTGGAGCTGGGCAGATCTGATAGACTCCTGACTCTGCCATATAAGAGCTGTGTGGAATTAGCTAACCTACTTACCCTTTTTGAGACTCAGTTTCTCCTCTATAAAAAAGATTCTATACTACTCATCTTTTTTATTTGTTTGTGTGTTTTGTTTTTTGATACAGGGACTCACTATGTAGTTCAGGCTGGCCTTCTATTCACTATGTAGCCCAGGTTGGCCTTGAACTCATGGTGATCCTCCTGCCTCAGCCTCCTGAGGGCTGGATTACAGGCATGCACCACCATGCCTGGCTCTATACTACTCACTTTTTTTTTTTTTTTTTTGGTTTTTCTCCGGTACCAGGAACCGAACTCGCGACCTTGCACTTGCCAGGCAGGCGCTTTGCCGCTGAGCTAAATCCCCAGCCCCTATACTACTCACTTTGAGGGGATAAATTTGGTATTTTTTTTTTTTATTTTAAAGAGAAAATAAAAACAATGATACAAAATTTCAAGACAAGATAGTAGGACGGTAACAATGGTTAGTACATGGCTTATTGTTATCTTCAAAATAGTTGCTCAGATTAAAATGTAGTGTATTTTAAAAGGGAATGTTCAGCCGGGCGTGGTGGTGCACTCTTGTAATCCCAGCACTCAGGAGGCTGAGGCAGGAGGATCATTGTGAGATAGAGACCAGCCTAGGCTACAAAGTGAGTTGAAGGCTGGCCTGAACTGGATTGCAAGACTCTGTCTCAAAAAGACAAAAAAAAAAAAAAAAAAAAGTGAATTGCCTGGCAAAAGGTGGTGAAGTAATGCTGATATTCCCTTCCTTGCCTGCCTCTACTTTCCTGATATGTCTAGAAAATATCCTCTTTTCTTAATGAGAGCCAAGGCAATAAAAGCATATTAGTTTTTGCTGGGCGTGGTGGTGAACACCTGTAATCCCAGCACTCGGGAGGCTGAGGTAGGAGGATCTTTTTGAGTTGAAGACCAGCCTGGGCTACAAAGTGAGCTCAAGGCCAGCCTGAACTGCATAATGAGACCCTATCTCAAAAAGAGACAAAAAAAACCCATATTAGTTTTGGATTAAATGCAGAATCCATCTGTGTTTGAAAAGCAGCACTGCCAATTAAGAACTGGGATTTTAGGTTACTGAACTACTCTACGTCTCAATTTCTTCAAAATGCTAAAATGTAAATAAAAACGGGCAGCTGGGCCTAATGGCAGTAGCCCTAGCAATTTAGAAGACCAAGGCAGGCAAATCTCAAGCTCTCACACAGGCTGGGTAACTTGGTGAAACTTTGTCTCAATAAGGGCTGAGGGGGCGGGGGATCTAGCTCAGTGGCACAGCGCCTGCCTAGCAAGTGTAAGGTCCTGAGTTTGATTTCTGGTGCCAAACAAGGGGGCGGTGAGGACGTAGCTCAAAAGTAGAGCACTTACCTTGCCTGTGGCACTCTGAAGCACGTGTGAGGCCCTAGGTTACATCCCCAGTACTGCCAAATTCCTCCCCTACCCTCCCACTGCAGAAACCCCTACAGGGCCCACCTCACAGTGCTGAGCACATAGTATATATGTCTATTAGTATTACTATTTTATTTATTTATTTATTTATTTATTAATTATTTTGTCTTTTTGAGACAGGGTCTTGCTATGCAGCTCAAGCTGGCCTTGAGCTCACTTTGTAGCCCAGGCTGGTCTCGAACTCGCAATGATCCTCCTGCCTCAGCCTACCAAGTTCTGGCATCACAGGTGTGCACCACCACACCCAGCTAGTATTACTATTTTAGATATGGGGATTGAACCTGGAGCCCTCAGCATGCTGGCCACCTGCTCTACCACTGGGTTATCTCCTCAGCACGTGTCTGTTGTTGCTTGTATCAGGTTAAGTCAGATCAGAACCTCTCCAGTGCTAGGCTCTAATGGCTCTCATAGTTATTGTTGAGCAGAAAGTCTCAATCCTGGTATGGCAGGACTGGTTCATTCCAGATTTGGTTATAATCTGCAGCATTTCCTCAATCTGCAGCATTTCCAATCACTTGTAGGAGTTCTGTGATTTATTTAGTTTCAGAGATGTTAAGTTAAACCAAGTTCACCAAGCATCTTAACTTGAGACTTTCTCAGGCTCTCTGACATGCAGTTTCATTAGGCTGATGGTATGTAGGGTTTTCCCAAAACCAAATGAACACTAAATGTGTTACCCTAGAACTATTTTGCAGAATGAGCAATGAATGATAACAGCTTGGGGAACAGGCTTGACATCCACCCTACAGCCCCTTCCCCCATGGGCCAGATCCAGAGACTGGTCCTGAGGCCCATATACTTACCCACAATGGAGACAGAGGGGAAATCCACTAGGTTCTTGGAGGAGTTGCTCCTCAGGCAACTGTCATCTTTGGGCTTCTCCTCAAGTGGCAGGTGGCTGCAGGCAGTGAGGAAGCATAGGAAGACCAGGAGGGTGGCCAAGAGCAGGCGGGTGACATCCATCCTGAGAGGCCTGAGTGGGACAGAGAAGGGGCCGGTGGCAGGTGGACCAGGGGTAGTGGCAGAAGGATGTGCCTTCCTGCTTAATTGTTCCTTCGGGTTGGTGTTCCAGCTCCCGTCCCACAAATGTCCAAGTAAAGCCAGAGGATAGGGAAGGGGAACTGATGAAGGAAGATGAGAGAAAAGGAGAGATGGGAGAGGAAGAGAGACAATCAAGGAAGGAAGGGAGGGAGATTGAAGTAAAGAGAGAAGTGCATTGCGTTGTTCTCTGCTGACCAGAGGGCGGAGTACTGACTGTTGTATTTTAAAGTCAGTGGCCCCAGGAGATCCTAGGCCTGGGAAGAGTTGTTGAAAGGCCCCCAGCTGTGCCTCACAGTGGCAGAGGTTTTACTAAGGTGCAGAGAATAAAGCTAATAAGTGAAGGCACAGTGAGAACAGAGCAGTGATGAATGGCTCCTTCAGACAAGTGTGTACATTGTCACATACACCAGATTCCCACTCACACAGAAAACAAATGCAGGTACAGTTTGTGGCAGGAGGATGGACCTGGTGGCATAAGGTAGCTGGATTTATTTATTTGCTAGCTGGATTCTGAAGGAGGCAGGTGGAGCTCAGAGTGGATTTCTTCTCTTGAATGCCTGAATTTGGCTCAGTTATGACCCAGAGTTGCTGCAGCAGCGCATACTCTGAGTATGGGATGCCCACTCCTTACCCTCCGCTCTTTATTTTCTTTCTGGCCTTGGAAAAGACTGGGACTCTTTGTTTTCTCTCCTTGGCCTCCTCCTCATCATGGCTATAGAATACTGAGG